GCCCGCGGCCCCGCGCCCCCCGCGCTGCACCCGGAGGAGGTCGCCGCGCGGCTGCAGCGGATGCGCCGGGAGCTGAGTAACCGCAGGAAAATCCTGGTGAAAAACCTGCCCCAGGACAGCAGCTGCCAGGTACCGGGACGGGGCTGGGTGGCGACGCGCCCCGGGGGCTGCGGGCAGGACTCCAGCGAGAAGCTGCCCCGAGGTGCCCCTGCGGGTGCCCCGCGCCTCGCAGCGCCAGGGGAGGAGGGGTCGGCGCAGAGGTGCGGGGACGGCGCGTCGTTTTTGCCCCCCCACCCCCCACCCCGTGGTTTCCGGACCTGTGGTCACCCTGCGGGGGCGGCAGATTAGGAAACTGAGGCTCCTAGAGGTGAAAAGGCTGGTCCAAGGTCACGGGAATCGGGGGCGTCTGCCTCCAAGTCCGGCCGCCTTTCTCCCTACCCTGCGGCCCCTTGGGTGTGTGCGGGGGGAGGGGAACAAGTAGTTGAAGGAGAGTGGAGGTGAGCTGTGGGGCTCCGTTTCGGGGTGCGAAGTCTTCGCGAGCACCTCGAGAGGGGCGGAGGGTCCCGCCTGCGTCCTCGGGACCTGGGTGTGCCCCGGGGGCGCGCTCCGGGGGGATCTGGGACTGAGTTTTCCTGTTGCAGAAGCACTTGGCCAACTTTGCGTGGAACAGCTCTGTCCCTGGAGTTTAAGGCCGTGGAATAGGGGGGCTGTCCCTGCGCCCGGGGGAGCCTCCTTCAGGGACTCGGAGGAAGCCCGCAGAGGCTACTTTGTGTCTTTTCGTCCAGATTAACTGTTGCCTTAAGATGAGAAGCTCTGCGTGTGTTTAACTACCCCCGGCCTTGATTGCAGAGGTTACACACTCGTCCTAGGAAAGCGAGAAAATACAGAGAAGCGAAAAGTGGGGAAATTGAAATCACCCGTGTTTCTGATACTTAAAGAGAACCCTTGCTAGCGGGGGTATTACTCTTCTCCCTTTTCCTGTGCGTACGTATATCTATGTATTTTTGTTTTACCAAAAAAAAAAAAATCATATCTTTGATTCTTTAGGGTTTCTTGTCTATTTCACATATAAGTTGAATTTATATAGTTTGTGTGGATGGGGAGGGTGGACCGTCCGGGTAGTTGCAGAATTGGGCCAGTTCGTGTAGTTCCACCTGTAACCGGGAGCCTGGGATTGCAAGTGGGAGGACTATCGATAATTGCAGGGCAGCTCTTCCATGATCTATAAAGTACTGAGAGGGGTGCCTCATCGGTAGGTGATTGGGCCTTACGTAGCCACTCACAATAAATGCGAGCATAGAACCTTATAGCCCATTTGCACGAGGGGCCATTTTGTTCCAAGAAGCAAAGTGAAAAAGTCTGTGTCAGTATCTCATAGCCTCTTTCAAATCTGTCATTGTCCACTTTCCATCAGGCAGGTCGTGCTCTGTGAGGCTACCTTGAAGGACACCTGTAATGGACGGACGTCACAGAAGCAACTTTCCCCTCCCCACGAGAATAGAGGAGCGCCAGGGAGCTCAGAAAGAGGGGGGCTTGGAAGAGGCAGATGGCATTTTTTAAAAAGCAAATTGAAGAAATAGCAGCTGTGTGTGTAGATAATCCTGGAGAGAGACGGAGAAGTGTCTTGATTTCCTTTGTAGAGTGTCATCTATTTTTGTCACATTTCCTTGCATTCTGAAGATATTTAGACCCCAAATTTTAGACAGTCCTATCTAGGCTTGCTTTGTTGTCGGTATCTTTCTCATTTCCCTTCTCAGGAGACATGGGGAAAAAAAAAATAGATCAAAGGGTCTAATAAAAGAAACAGTTTTAATTACCTTGTGTCCATGATGAAGAGAGGTTTTATGAGAATTACACTGATTTGTATTTTTGAGATATTTGTTCTCTGTTATGAACTTATGTTTAGCCTAAATCTTAGGATTTTCTCTAAGGTATCAGGCATAAACTGTGGAATAAAATCGGTGTAAGATCTGTATGTCTAGACGAGTCTTTTACTGCCAACTAAAGTATCTTAAATTCTTATGCCTTTTTTTCCCCAAGAGCTGAAGTTTCATCTAAAAGCAGGAAAAAAAAAGGTTTTTGGACCTAGAAACTTGTCCAGACTTGTCCTAGCATTTTTTCCCTGTAATTATTTTAATATTCCTGATATGTAGTTTTAAACTCTAAACAGATCAATGTTTGGTTACAAATAATATTTTTGAGAAGTGTTCATTTTTCCCCCATCCTGTTTCATACTTGTACCTTTCCTAGTTTTCTCATCACAGCCATAGTATAACCATCAGTTCTCTGTGTTGCGTAAATAAGGAGAATAGACCAGAATATTCTAGTTTCTAAAAGCAATTAAAACAGTCTTTTCTTTAGATTCGGAATGACTATTTTTATTGATCCAGTAAAGTTACTATTTACTTCATGTGCTTTTCCTCAAGTTGTGAAATTTTCATGAGCATAGCCTGCAAGGGTTTTGGTATTTTATCTTTTAACAATGCTAATGTCTCTTTTTTTCTTTGTGGCCACATTTTACTGTCAACTTACTGATGAAGGTTTAACTTTAATTTTATTTTGTGCCTTTTAGCCAGTATCACCTGACTAAACTATGTATTTACTTCTTACAAAAGGACTACTATAGTTTTGAAAACGTTACTACTTTTCATGTAGTTATTAAGTAATCAGATATTTTAAATACTCAAATTCTCATTCTTCTGTGGAAGAGTCTGGGTTCCTTCGTTCATTTATTCTAGAATATCACTTGAAGGATTAAAGCCATTCCTAACTCTAGTTCTCATACTGTTCTGTCTCAGAAAAGCTACAATGGTAACTGATTCGTGGGAGCCCAATATGTTTTTTTGTAACTTTGAAAACATGGGCATTATCTTTATTAAACGTAGTTTTTATAAATGCTACTCAAATTTTGTTTGATTTTCGGTATGACAGGTTTACAGTAGCATCTCAGAACTTTACACTTCCTGTGATTAGAAGGCACAATGCGAGTATTATTTTTAAATGGGAGCTTTTAAAGATACGTGGATCAGATACCCCGCAGAGCACCGGCCCTAGAGGAAATGAACACCTTGATCCAGCAAGTCCCCAGAAGCCGTCTCACTGGCCGGTGCCCGCGGTCGGCGCCGTCGGCCAGCCTCCCCGCTCTCTCCAGGCCTCCTAGCCCTCTGCGTTTTTGTAGCCTCGGCTTTGGTTCATGTCCTTTTCATCTTTCACGCAGACTATGACAATTGTCTGTGTGTCATCCGCCCTCATTATTGCCCTGCCTCTTAGGTTTTAGCCCCTCCTGCTTACGGCTGCCCTTGAGAAAGCTGCTCAAAGCACACATCTGCCGTCAGGCTCCCACTTTAAAAAACAAACAAACAAATCCTTTGACTCCACGTTTCTGGCACGGCCTCGCAAACATCCCCTCAACGTGTTCATCAGTCTGTCTCTTTTGCTCAAATTGTAAGGAATAGTGAACCTGAGTTAGCCTTCTGCAAGAATGAGATTGCTTTGAAGATTCATGTTCTGTCTGAGAAAACACACACACAGCTTTTATATTCTAGTAAAATTGGATTCAATATAAAAAGAGTGACTTGTTTAACTCCCCTCCAAATTTATTTTTTCCACAAACTGGACGCTTACGGAAGATGCACCATATTTATCCTATTTTTATCATTATTTATTTTAGAGAGAGGAAGAGAGAGAGAAACGTTGATGTGAGAGAGAAACATTGGTTGGTTGTCTCTTGCATGTGCCCAGACCAGGGAATGAACCGCCACCTTTCGGGGTGCGGGTCAACGCTCCAGCCAGCTGGGCCACAGGGGCAGGACCTGGGGTTTTTAATACTCCTGTGGTCCCATGAAGTATTCAGAACTCACTTTGAAAAGCATGCCATGATAGGCTAGAAGGCATTTTGTGACTTGGCCCCTGCCTACATTTTTAGTCTCATATATTAGTCCTGCATTGGATTCTACTGTAGTTTTATCAAGATAACTAGATCCCCAAGTCTTTCATACCACTGTGATTTGGATATTTATAGTTATGTCTTTGAATGTTAGTGTTTTGGAATGTAATTATAGTGATTAGTTTATTGTGAATAATATTTGTAATTATTATAATTACAGTGAATATCAGTGTTGTGAACACTGATTCTTGTTCAGAACAGCTATTGTGTATGTGTCTGAGTAGTCCTCTGCAACTCTGAATTTAGAATTTTGGTTGGTTAAGGGAATGCCTTAATATGTGGCTTTTATTGCATTTCTATAAATTGTTTATTTTTTTTATGGTTAACCTTGTGTTTCAATAGCATTGTTATTGGGATTTCAAAATGGAGAAAACAGTGGTATTTTATTTCCTATATCACTTGAGTTCACTCAGTTTTTTCCTTACACACTGCATATGTGTACATGTGTTTTGTTTTTATTGTGTTTATTTTAAAACCTAAAAGAGATTTGATTGCACAATTAGAAAAAAATGTGAAGTGCTTAGGGCTAACAGCCAAGATCAGTAATAGAAGAAACATTCTAGTGTCTCACTGTGTATTTCTAACTTTCATTGCGGGGTACTCTATTATGGGAGTTAATTGAGAAGCTTGGTGATCAGTTCACAGAGAGGTATTTGAAAGCATAGTGTTCTCAACCAACCACCTTTTAAAATAACCAACCACCAAATGTAGGGTTGATTGTCTTCTTAAAAGCTACTTATTCCCATTTTTCTTTCCTATTGGTCAAAGAGCAATAGCATTTTCTCACATGCTTTGTGTTCCTTAACTGTGATTTAAAAATGTACCTTATTTGTTTTGTCTGACAATGCATTCAGTAACTATTGCCTTTTTTTTTTTT